CCCCTTCCACACAGGCTCGCTGCCCCACAGGCTATTGGGGGCCTCTACCACAAACCCACTGCCCCATAACCTTACTGCACCCCAGCACCTCAGCAGCATCCACAAAAACAGCACTGCCCCATTCCCTGCCCCCTACAGCTCCAGCACTGCCCCACAACCTCCAGCCCCACAGCCCCAAGAGTGCCCCACAACCTTTCTCTTCACAGCCCTACCACTGCCCCCTTTCCCGCCTCCCCATAGCCCCAGCACTGCCCCATAACCTTACTGCACCTCCAGTACCCCTATCAGTATCCCAAAACCCAGCATTGCCCCATAACCTCCCACCCCACATCTCAGCACTACCCTATTCCCAGCTCCCCATAGCCCCAGCACTGCCCCATAACCTCCCACCCCACATCCCAGCATTGCCCCATTGCCCTCTCCCCATAGCCCCAGCACTGCCCCATAACCTCCCACCCCACAGCCCCAGCATGGCCCCACAGCCTTCCTCTTCACAGCCCTAGCATTGCCCCATTCCCAGCTCCCCATAGCCCCAGCACTGCCCCATAACCCTCCTGCACCCCCAGCACCCCATCAATACCCCAAAACCCAGCCCTGCCCCACAAGCTCCCTCCCCCCAGCCCCAGCCCGGCCCCACTCCTCCCTCCCCCCAGCCCCGCTCCCAGGGCCCTGCCCGCACTCACAGAGCTCGCAGTAGCGGTGGCAGCCGCGGCCCAGCCCCTGCAGGTACCGCTGCAGCACATCGGTGAGCAGGTCGCAGGCCGAGACCTGCACCGAGTCCCAGCCGAGCGCCTGGCAGATCTGCGCCACCGACACCCGCAGCAGCCACCGCGAGTAACTCTCGCACATGCCGCCCGGCCCGGCCCGGCCCGGCCCGGCGCCGCCACCAGGGCCGCTACCCAAGGCCGGGGCCCGGCGCCCTCCGCCCGGCGCCGCCGCAGCCGCTTCACGCACGGGCCGCCGCCGCCGCCATCTTGGCGCCGCCAGGCCGCGCCGCGCCAGCGCCGAGCGCATCGAGCGAGCGGCCCGCGAAACCCGCGGCTCATCGAGCGCGCAGCGCGCAACTGCGCGGCCTGTGGCGGGTAAAGAGGAGGCGGTTGAGGCGCCGCCTGAGGGGGCGGCTGCCTCCCCCCAGGCTAAATACGAATATTGCCCGAAACCGGCAGGTTTGGGGGCAAAACAGCCCGCCCGGACCCCTCTGCGAGGGGTGGGGGCTGCGCCGTGGAGGAGGGCGGCGTGGCGGTGCCACCAGCGCCAACGCGGCTCCAAATTGCGGTGCCGCTTTCCTGGCATAAATCTTGTTAYTTATTTATTTATTTACCCKGAAAAATCTGAAATTACCCGTAGGGATTTCAGGAAATCTGGAATTAGCCTACTGTGCCCTCAGGCTGCTCATAATCTGGTTCCCAGCCCCACGGGAGCTTCTGCTCCTCTCCTGGGATTGAACCTTTCTCCCCTCCACCCTCCTCTTTGGTTGTTAATTATGGACAATTTGGGGGTGATTTCAGATCACCCACCGGATGATGGGTGCAAGAAAGAGCCTGATCTGAACGTTTCAGATGGGCTCCAAGAGCAGGAGAGCTGCAGGAAGACTTGGACAAGGGAACAGGGAGGCTGTCCAAAACTAACTAGAAAAAATAAGCTCAGTGGTTTGTACAGAAGTAGCCAAAGGAGAGCAATTTGGGTATGGATGGGGTAAAACTGGGACCAAGAGGGATAAAGGATTTATGGAGAGGTTGTTTATTAGGAGATGGGGCAGGGAGGAATCATACAGTAGTGGCAAAATAGGAGGAACCAGAAACAAACCAAAAATTAGGCTTACAGAAGAATCTGTAAGGGGGTATGGAAAGGGGTGATAGGATTGCACTCCTTTAGTGGTGCAGGAGGTAGAATAAAGGACAACAGAACTGTTAAACTATTGTTAAGCTATTGTTTAACAGTTGTGCAATTAATAAACTAACACTAAATTGTGTGCAATAGCATTTAATAGTAAATTGTAACTCAGTAATTGTAAAAAAAAAGTGTGAAGGACAGAACTATGAATTAATGCTGGTTCTATTAATTAGTTCACTAGTGAACTCATCAATTTATCAGTTATTAGCAGTGATTAAATATCTACAGTATTCTCAAGGGAATTAATAAGGACATAGCCTACCACCTATTCAGCGTTAACATGACTTGGGCTTCCTGGGCTGCTCTTAGAATGTGGAATGAATGCAATTAAAGGAAAAAAAAATCCCAGGATTTATTAGATATGGAGATTCCTGCTTCATGARCTGCCTTTCCTGACCAGTTCAGATTCCTCTAAAGGTGACAACAAATTGCTTGTGCTGTAGTAAATTGGGGGGGAAAAAAAGAGTCCATCTTTGTGCTTCTTTGCTGCTTGGCGTGAAGGACCTGAGGTCCAAGGTTAGTTCCCCAAACCACTACCGAGCTGCACAGCTCCCACCAGGAACTGTTCAGTAATGGAAAAGCCAAAGCACTGCTGAATGGAACACAGCTCTGGAAACGTTATACATGCCATAGAAGAAACCCAAAAAGTTTGTATATCAATGTGAAGATCATCATAGCTGAGCGACAGAAAAAATGACAGCAGATTAAATATATAACTGCCTCCAAGAGAACTGAACATTCACTTGGGATTTGAAAATATCTTCCTGCTGTGAACATACTTAGTAACTCCTTAGGTACTTCGGACAGCGTATTAGAATGGAAACTTTGACATCGGGCTGTTATCTCATGCAGGCATACAAATCCTGGAGCTATCATGGCCAGAGCCATCCGAATTCATCTAGAACACCCAGTTTCTCCAATAATTAGAAGGAATCCCAGCTGCACATGCAGACACACTAGCTTTTGCATACTAGGTATTTTATAGCAAGGAACACATTCAGAGAGCATAATCACACAACTACTGAATGTATCTTGCACTTCAGCATGTCCTATTTCTCCTTTTATGCATTTGTTGTGGATAGTGAGGCTTGAGAACTGTGCCAAATGCTACTGTATTTTATAGGACACCAGTATATAAGCTGACCAATGAAATGAAGACTAATGATTTATATAATTCTGCAAGTTCATTTTAGAATACAAATGCCTAGGTACATCTATAGTATTTAAATGAGACAGACCAATGTTTCTACTGCATATTTCAAAACAATAATTTGGTCATGCCCTGCTTCAGTGCGCAAAAAAAAAATTCATGTTAAATTCATATTAACTAACAGCTCAAAAATAAAGGGTGTTAATAGTCTTAAGATATGCACTTCTCACTCTTCAAAAGAAAATGCCGAACTATATGCCTCGTATGTCACAGACTACAAAAGGCAAAACAAACGCTTTTAGAAATTAGCTTTTTCAAAGAGTAACCAAGTGAAATCTAGGTATTMAGACAAGTGACAGCACTTGTTTCATGTAGGTGTTTATTTTCAGAATTTACAGATATTTCCTGGACCTTGCCACTTCACAAAACAACAGAGTAGTCTCATTAACATAGACACAGGCAGGATAAACCATATGCTCAAGAGCTCTTCTTTACCTGCAAGAAAAAATTAAAGCGTATTAGGAACATTCAAAGTATTTGTTTTCCCCCTTTTGCTATGTGAATACTTTATCAATTTGTTCATCTTCCTTGCCTCCCCAGCCCCTCTTGAACCTATCTGCTTATTTTCCTTCTTATCTTGTTYTCAGGAGCAATATCTAAGGTAGAGAAATTTCACTGCATATATTTTCAGGGCACTGTGAAACATTAAAGCAGTAAATGTAAGTGAATCCAATAACCCAAAGATGTAAGTGAATACAATAACCCAATAAGACGCAGAAAAGCATGCCAAATGCAGGTGCATGCTATCACAGACATATTTTTGCCCAAAATCATTGGTGTTCAAGAAGTTCTTGTATAGACAGAGACTCAAACTAGCAGTGGCACTGGAACAGCAGTTYCCTAACTCTTACAGATGGAGAAGAGTTTCTGCAGGCAACAAAACTGAACTTRGACTTCCTCATATAACCTCACATACCCTGCAAGATTCCCTGTGTTTATTCATTTTAAAATGCAGTCTATTTTTTATTTTGTAACTTTACCTCTTGTCTCGGCTGAACCTCTTATTTTCCGATTAATCCCTGGTTTAGATATTAGGAGGAAAAAGAAAAACAGAACAAGCAGGTTAGGAAACAACTCATGCAAATTACAGAGAAACTCCCCATGTATTTTTAAACCACAACTGTATTGTGAGGAGCACAATACAGCGTATAACTGCAACATGGTACATCATGTATTGCAGACATGATGTTTCATAAACAGGCAAATATATCTGTTAATATCCTGTTTCTTTGATTACAGCACAAGTTTTTAAACTGTTAGATGTAATATACGTTAGCTACACACTGTTACCAATTACGGTCTATGCTCACACACCATTTTGTAACCTGTAGCACACGCACAAAACTTTTCTCAGGGAAATACATGAAATATTGCACTTGAGTATTAAAGAAAGAGGCAAACTTTGCATCAACAGACTCTGGAAATTCCCTCCTTCCAAACCCATTCCCAATCCCTCAGCTTCTGAATACCTCAACAAGCTGATTTATCCCCCAGCAATTAGGTGATCAGGGTTGGTCAGTTCCATCCAACACTATATGGTAGCAATATATTGTCTTACTCCGAGTAGACAAAACAAGAAAAGCCCAGGTAGAAGAGTCTAAAAAAAGTYTACTCAAAGCCAAAAAATGAGCAAGTAAAACACCGCTTGCTCAGAAAGGGAATTGTGACAAAGCTAGAGATGTATTTTACTAGCTTTTTAAGAGTGTCTGACCAGAAGGAATTGTCAAATGTCACACTAGTTAGTAGAATTACCCCAGGCTGAAAAATATGGGTTTCATGCCATGTATTGTCTTCCCTTTGGTGTTAGAACTTAAAGGCCTCCACTTTCTTATTGAGAGAAGCAAGATGGGTATTATATGATTTCAGAGTAAGTCAAATTTCACATTCCTTCAGATACTCACAGAGCAGCAGCACCAGAGATGATCTCAATAAGCTCCTTGGTAATTACAGCTTGGCGGGTACGATTGAATGTCAAGGTCAGTTTGTCAATCATCTCAGCTAGAAAAAATTAAGGGCAGAATTTAAACATATAATAAGTATTCAAATACAGATGAAGAGAAAATGTATAAACAGAATACCACACAGCATTGTCAACCAATGCAAATTTAAAGAGGTTTAACGTCCTTCTTTCCCTAAAGACAATAGTACTAGCAGGTAATCTAGAAACATTCAATTTGGCTTGAAGCATCAGAGTTAAAACAGCTGAAAATCAGCTGGCAGCCTAGTAAGTACCCTGGCACAGTATGACTTATTTTAACATAATTCAAAACTGTGCTATTTGCCCTTAAGCTAAGGGATGATTTCACTATCAATAACTGCATCAGTATTTCCTTTAAGTTACTGCTGCTGGGGAAGTGGACCCTGCCTGCCRACCTGTAATACTCTGAGATGAAGAGTAGAAATTGACTGTTTCCCATTAATACCAAATGCACACTTGTACTTATTTGGATAGGGATGATCTCAACTTGATGCTGAACCAGTTGTAAAACATTTAACTGCTATTTGAGCCTTAAACTGGTGCATTAATAATTACCTTGGGCTTGAAAGCACAAAAATTTATAGAAATTTTGGAACTCCTCAGGGCATCAGCATCAGAAAAGTCCACAGAATTCTTGGCCATTACAACATTAGCTTAGTATGTCATATTCTTACAAAAGAATCTGGTGTTCTGCCTCCAGTTTCTTCGTGATAAACAGTTTGAGTAAAAGAAAACCCACAGAGCTGCCTTACAAGCATTTTTGCTGGCGTTGTCCATAGCGGTCATTCTAGCACTCTGCTCGCTGGTGGTGGATTCTTTAAGGGAGTAGTACAGAATATTTGCTAGTGTGAATTCCTGGTAGTTTCTCAGCACATCAGCATCAATATCATCATAGATACTAAGGCTCTCTGTAAAATATGAAAGAGTGGAATTAGAGGAATCCAAGCCTACGCCATTGAAGTTACCATTCATTTGAAATAGCTGCATTGCCCTTGCTTCTTGATCTTCACACACTGGCCTAAATCTATTGTACTTTTTAGAACTATCATATATATACACTACTCTTAACTGGATACTTGGAACATTAGGGTCTTGCAAATTTTTTACAAAGTTAACACTTAGGACTTCAGGGGAAAAAAAGGACTTTTTTATTTTAAATGTGTCTTATTTGATTCATCTTTGAAAATTCCAAGAAGGTAAATTGGCAAGTAATCCACAATACAGCTATGCAGGAACATTCTGAGGAATAATCAGATTTTTTTTTCTGTAGTCCATCTTCACACAATGGTGGTTTCTAAGTCATTACTTACCAGAACCAGCAACTGTTTCAAAAGAGAATATTGGTTTTTCATCAGTCTTGTAGGAGATGACAGATCTATTACGAAAAAATAAAAAAAGCATAATGTGCTTAGATAAACTGAAATGCCCAAATAGAATATTTAAAATACATTTAGAACAGACAACTTCTTCCSATTCCTGAAAGTTTTGATACGGTTTCAATACATCATCAGGACTAAGTACTTGATGACATACGAACCATGAAGACATCACCACCCACTGTAAAAATAAAAATAGAATTCCAACTCCTCAAAAACAATAGCCCTTCAAATACAAGATGCACTATATSTACCAATTCACACTCTTTTTTACGTTACCCCATTAGAGCAACATGTTGTTCGAAAGTCTTCTATCCAACACCTTTCCAGTACACCCTTCAGAACACATGCCTTAAGAATACYTTTTTTAATCTCACCTGAACCGATTGTAGATGACGGATCCTTCATCAAATTCAAACCCAGAGTTCAGCAGCTCTGAAGCAATGACTGAAGCATCTCCAAAGCTGGGAGGTCTCCGTCCTACTTCTTTRAACGTCATCAGGAAGTAGTTGCCATGTGTCCTGCAGAATCATGCCCTCTGTATTAAAACCAAGTTCATGGTCTCGTGTAGAGCTTTACAGCACCAAACGCAAGGACCCCAGTAACTCCCCGGGGGTAACTCACCCAGTAACTCAGTGCTTATAAACTAAGCATTACACTGAATTCTGGCTTGAGAGAAATCTTACTTTTTTTCTTAGTTAAATTATCATAATAGCTTCATGATAAACACATTTTTCTAACAGCACAGGTGTTGCTAGCTCTGACTCTCATTCCACTCTAACAGTGTCATGCAGCAGTTTCAAAAGAAATCTAAGTGCGCAAAGTCTATTTTATTATATTTGCAGATGTTCTTTAAAAAAAATTGCATTCATCTTAGCTCCATAAAAAGTAGTTGCTGAGGATATCAAACAGCTTTTTGAGCAGCTTTGACACTTCTACTAGAGAAAACAGAGTAACAAAGAGAAATCCACCCTAATCGGATCCCTCTACTTCTTTTTACCTTTGAAGGAGGCCTCTGATTTTGTCACCTACTCCAACCACCATAACTTCTTTCCCTGCGTTTGAGAGGTTGGTAATCTCATTCTTCAGGGTCTTGGCAATGGATGTGTGAATAGCTCCACAGAGACCTCGATCAGAGGACACACCGATAAGGAGATACTTCTTCTTCTCCTCRGGTGCTTTAATTTCTGCTTTCTCATAAAGAGCTGAAGAAAAAGAGAAGCAACTTATTCAAGGGTACAGAAAGCACACAAGTGACATGAAAAATGACCTTTAACATACTCTAACTAAAATCATTTCTGAAGAGGTTCCAAATGGCAGACAGATTAATTTCATCTCCTTGATGCTCATTAAAAGCTGCATGTGGTGTGACTAGTGGTAACAAGAACAATCATCAAAAACACAAAATACAGACCAAAAAACCACACCCCTGCTTCCAACCCCCAATTAAAAGCCAGCTACATATCTATGTCCATCATCATTCAATAAAAATCATCATTTAAGATAAACTGTGCTTTCAGGAGCATGCTCAGTCGGAAACTTTGCAAAAATGTTTGTCAGTAGATACTGAGCTGACAGCAAGGACACAATGTCACTAAGAGAATGTGCCATTGTGTCACTACACAATGTCACTAACATAAAATAGCAGGCCAACAACTAATGTTAACTTTATGACAATCAAAACTAAGTACAGAACCACACAATTAAATAAAAAAAAATCATAAATCATAATGATTTCCACACTAGAGCTCTTAAAAAATGGCTTTCATCAGTTACCTATGAGGATAAGGAATACTCAACATGACAGACTCCTAGAAATACAAATACTTTCGAAGATCTACCCAAAAGGTGGAAACAAATCTAGAGATTTAAACACCACCGCAAAATGCTCCCTTTTCTATTTTGGTATCACACAGAGCAGGCTCTTCTATTACCCAGTGCTCCTGTTCCATATATTCTAGCAGGCTTCAGTTCCCTCTCAGCTCTTGCATATTTTGCTGCAGAAACCATCTTCATGGACTTGGTAATTTTCTGAATGTTCTTGATGGATTTTAAGCGTCTGGTAACTAAAAGATTAATAGTTGATGGTCAAAATTGGGCTATATTGAGCACAGTGACATAAAACAAAAACAAACAACAACAAACAAAATCAACTCAAAATTTCTCACCAAGTCTCAAAGATGAAAAATGTCMAACAGATTCTCCCCACCCCCACTACTATTTTCTACCATCAGCTGGCACCTCCGCCTAGAGAATTTTAGTGCCTTATTCTCCTTTCTTGCACAACTACTTTCTCCTCAAATATACCATCAAATGTGCTTTATAACAGAGATTTTTTTTTTCCCCTCGTGATCCGGAAAACAGTAACAAAGCGTCGGAATAAATTTATTCCAACGTTTAGATTCTGTCCAAATGAGAATGGTAACGACATCACTGTAAAAATAAAACAAATCTACTGTCCTTCATTCAGTACGAGGACAATGTGCCTACATAAGAAGCTAAGACTAATGGGGCTTTAAAAGGCATTACCAAAGGTGAACTAACAGTCAACTTGGCTTTGCAGACTGGATAACTGCAAAAAGAATTCTACCTAATGCAAGAGAAAATACATTAGATTTTTAAAGGTGAATAAGAGTCTGCTTTAGCATATCCGACTCGATTCTTTTTAAAATATGCTTGAGTAAAATTTATGACATTGAAGTCCATGCTAAAAGCATTTAACGCGATGCATTTTTGGAAGGTTCTTCTTGAATACAAAACATGCTGGAGGGTTGTCTTTCAAAGCTTTGCAATACCCTAATCATTTCATCCTTCTAGGGGAGTCACAAGCCAGATGACAGTAYATTTTAACATACAGTTAAACAAAATTTCAGTTCCAGCGAGAACATCCCTCTCTTACAAAGGGACCCCAGCTGCACTTACTATCTTTCAGAGTTGCCATATTCCTCACTTGGCCCCTGGAAACGAAGGCAGCACATGTTAATTTAGCCCACTGTCCCCCAGCACGGCAACACCTCCCCATATCAGCGCATTCAGCTGCATTCAGCCCACATCACTGCATTCAACTGCACTCAACTGCATTCAGGCGAGCTTTGGGAATCGCCGTTTCCCCCGGGGCATCAACGGGAAGGTCATTTCGCTCCTGCCCGCGCACCTCGGCTGTTCCCCGGCCCCCTGTGCCACCCTGGGGGCCGGGGAGGCCTCAGGCCCCGCCGAGACGCCACCGACTTGCGCGTCCCCAAGGCCCCAGCGAGGGAAACGACGTGGAGCCGCGGCGCGGCCTGAGGCGGGAGCCCCGCGCCTCCTGCCCGCAGCAGCCGCCATTCCGCCCCGCGGGCCTTCCTCAGCCATCCCGCTCCCGCCCCGCGGCCCCGGCGCAGCCCCCGTCACCATTGCGGCTGGTAAAGGGCGACGGCGGCGCCGCGGGCGAACATGGCGGCGCCTCCACCACAGCCCCGCTGAAGGTCAGCGCGCCCGCACCGCGCATGCGCCCCCCGGGAGGGCGGCGGAAGTGCGTCCCGGCCGCGCGCCGCCGCTTCCGGTGCGGGAGGGCGCGGGGCTGAGGGAAGTGCCGCCGTTGCCGCCGTTGCCGCCGTTGCCGCCATGGGGAAGGCGGATTTCCTGAGCCCTAAGGCCATCGCCAACCGCATCAAGTCCAAGGGGCTGCAGAAGCTGCGCTGGTACTGCCAGATGTGCCAGAAGCAGTGCCGCGACGAGGTGAGCGCCGCCGCTGGGCCCGAGCGGGGCGGGACGAGACGTTGGAAGGGGACGGGGGGCTCCGCCACCCCCTGCAAGGATCGCCGGGCCCCTCCGGAGGGTCCCCATCCTTTAAAGGTCCCCACGTTCCTTTGGGGAGGACACGAGGGGATCCAGTCCCCTGGGAGGGGGGTCTTTGATCCCCTTGGGAAGACTTGAGGCGTTTGACTCACCCGTTGAGGGGTCCCCCTAACCCTCGTGGGGTTCTGAGCTCCTTTAGAAGGAGCCCTAGGGGTACCCTCAGCTCACGAGCAGGACCTGCCGTCCTTGGGGACAACCTGATCCCCTTGAGGGGAGCACAGAGAGGGTCCTGATCCCTTTTAGGGGCCTCCGGCCACCCATATGGGTGCTCTGCTGCCCTAGCAGGACATTCAGTGGGGTTTGACCATTCCRGAGGATGCCTAAAGGCCGGGAAAAGGGGTGATTATTTTGAGGGTGCATAGGAGACTCCAGTCTGCCTCACAGGGCTCCTCAGCCCCTGTGGATGTGGTCCTGATTCCCCCTCGCCCCAGGAGGGATCCCAGGAGGGATCACGAGGGCCCTAAGCCTCTTTGGGGAGCCCCAGTCTCCTGCAGAGGGACTGATCTGTGCTGCAYGGAGGGAGCATGGGGTGGCCTTAAAGCCCCGGGGGATGGGGGACCCTGATTCTCCCACTGGGGGGTAGATGGGGTGGCCCTGATCTGCCTTTCAGGACATTTTGGTTTTCTTCTCACGCTGCCCCTTCTGCTTTTCACCCTTCTTCACTTGGGTCCAGATCCTCATGGGATGTCCRTGTCCCGTTTCTCCCAATTTCCAGTAAACATGTGGAAAGTGTCCCCTAAAGTACCTTTTCACAAGCTAGCTGGGCTTTTAAATATCTGTTTTCTGTGACCAGCCTGCCTAATATGCTGTAGAGGAAAAAGTAAAACATCAATTAKATTGTTCTTCAGCTTTCTTTTTCATCCAAAAAGCTCAGTTCTTATCCCTTTCCTAGAGGCTGCAGGTAAAAAAGTGTCACTTTCCCAAACAGGTCTTTTGCATAGAAAGAAAACATATTCTGATGAAATTGTATTATACTAGGAAAAAAAAATGTGGTCAAATATTCTGCATCTAGGTGATGATTTGAGGGGAGCTCTGATGACTTTAACCGGGTGCTGGAGGTGACTAGACTGTTGCAGTTGCTAGTTTGAGTGCTCCTCCTCACACTGTTGTCATCAGTGTTGTTCTGGGAGGGAGATAGCAGGTATTGCCAGAGCTCTTTTTAAGTATCTGGATGGATCTGACCGGCCTGGAGTCTATCCCAAATCCACAGGGGACCAACAGGACTGCTGCAGAGCCTTTGAGCTCCTCTCAGACCTTCCTGTCTGATGGGKCTTGGCTCCATGAAGAGCTCTGGCTTACCTGCTAAGGAGGAACAGCTGCCTAGCACTAGATGTTTCCTGTGGACCCTCTAAGACATTTAGTTTGTAAAACAATGATGCTGTTGAGTTTTGTGACTTCTGTAAATTGAGGTAAATAAATTGAGATAAAGACAGAGAACCAGAGAATATACTTTTTTTTTTTTTTTTTAATAGAATGGTTTCAAATGCCATTGCATGTCCGAGTCCCACCAGAGGCAATTGCTGCTGGCTTCTGAAAATCCTCAGCGATTCTTGAATTACTTCTCTACGTAAGTTTCCTAGATATTGTCACCCAGGTCTTCGTGGGTGAGATTCAGTCAGATTCGTGCAGTCGTACCTGTAGGGCCCAGTCATGTCTTATTGAAGATACTTTATTTGTGTGTGTTTCAGGGATAGCTGTTTTTTAGTGGTTATTTTAGAAGCTAAGCAATGACACTTTTGAAAGTGTCTACAAAATTTCAGGGAGYGCTGWTTTTTTTTTTTTTTTTAAGAGACAATTGAATTGCATATCATATCTAACAGTAACACTTTAAGTTGCTCTGTCTTCCCTGGTATCACACAGTTCTGCTCCGGCTAGTTGACTACTACACTACACGTGCAGAGCGTGTCGTTTTTACCTCTTTGTCCTCTTTTGTCACTGAAAAGAGCTAAAAGAGCTGATACAGAGAGATAACAAGCAGTATGACTAGTASCCCACACTCTTTCCCCTGATTCCTTTGTCCAGCCATGACCTCCACGGTAGCTGGGTTGACTGGAGCTGTCTTCAGCAGGAATCTGCAGTGAGRCTTTATACTCCAGCCATTGAATTTGCAGTGAGATGAGTGATCACTCTGCCCCATCTACCACTGTTTCCCTTTGTACTCTGTGTTTTGTGTCAGTGTTAGTCAACCTTGGAAGCTATCTGGTAATGAATACCAGTAATTAGTGGAAAGTGCTCCCACTTCATCCTTTAYRTTTTATCCTTTTGAAAAGGTACTATCCTTTTGAAGATAAAACTTGTACGTGTGTGTACAATATTGTGTTTCTTTCTGCATGCATACTGCATTTAATATTACCTTACTGAAAAAAAGAAATGAGGTCTGAATGTCATAATATTCCCTTCAAAAATACTCTATATGGAGGGCACTTCTTTTTTTTGATGACAATAGAAAATTATTTTGTAATTGGTTGAATTTTACTAAAATAATTTCTTTTTGTTTGATAAGGGAATTCCGAAATGATTTCCTAGAACTGCTCAGGAGGCGATTTGGTAAATATTTTACTGTTTGTTTATTTGTTTTTAATGTCTTTTTGGGGTTCAGTGCGRAACATTTGGCTTCTTCTAGGTCGTATACTTGTATTTATTAATAATTTTGGATTTCAGGAACGAAGAGAGTTCACAATAATATTGTATACAATGAATATATCAGTCATCGAGAACACATCCACATGAATGCTACACAGTGGGAGACACTGACTGATTTTACCAAATGGTTGGGCAGAGAAGGTAAATAGAGTTATTAAGGGTGGGGAAGTTTTGTAATTACTAAGTAGTTATAAAATAAACATTGTTTATATAACATATTATATAATAAGCATTGCTGATAATAAATCTGCAAAAATTTTGTTAATCCTCCTGTTTCTTTTTTTTTTTTTTTTGTAATGAGTGACTATAATGCAGCGTACTACATTTTTCTGTAGCATAATATTATTTTGTATATATTGTTTAATTTTTTTAATTTCTCTTTTATTGCTTGCAAAAGTACTGACTGAAAAGGACATGTTTCCTTCCAATAAGGACAGGATACTAAAACACCCCAATTTATTATACAGTCTGGCCTTTCTGAAATGGATGGTTGAAGAGCAGAAACATTTTTAAACTGGGCAAAGTCAACTTTACCAAACCATAAGAGATACTTTAACAGAACCAATGTATTTTCATTGCTTTAAAAAATACAGTGATATTTTATTGTTCCTTGCTTGTCTTTGCTAATGTTAATCTTGATCGTGGGTTGGCTTTGGTGGTAATGTAAATTTATATTGACTTTCTAGGTTTYTGTAAGGTTGATGAGACTCCAAAAGGCTGGTATATCCAGTATATTGATAGGGACCCAGAGACTATCCGCAGGCAACAAGAACTAGAGAGGAAGAAGAAACAGGACCTTGATGATGAAGAAAAAACTGCTAAATTCATTGAAAAACAAGTTAGAAGAGGTTTGGAGGGCAAGGAACTGGTGAGGAAAGTTATACTATTTTTCAGTCCTCTTGGTTAAATTACTGCTGACTTTGATGATACTAGAATCCTTTCAGTGGTATTTCCTTTTGGTCAATTAGAAGGTGAAGAACAACCTTCATGCTTCAGATTACATGCTGGTTACCAGTTCTGACTGATGGGCATCTTTGACTGCCCTGATGAGTGTTCTTTTCCCACAGACTTCTGTAGCCTCAAGAGAGCAGCCGTGACTACCTGGTTTCTGTTGAAATTACAGTTTGTTACATCATCATCATCATACATCAGTTAGAGATGATAAACATCTCGGTCTTGTATGCAATCACAGTTCCAAAAAGGCAGAAGTGAAAGTTTCACCTCCTTTTAAATGTGATGTATTTTTGAAGTCTACTGGAGTTGAACAGTGTGTCCCTGTTGTGCCATCTTGGCCATTTCTGATTTTGATTTAAATTTTGATTTAAATTGTCCATCTTCTCCGTTACTTGAACCACCATATTAACTCATATTCAGATTTTTCTTTTAAACTTTTATGTTTTAATCTACTCTATATAAAAACGTGAAACTACTTTGTAGTTGGCTTGCTGTAGTTATAAATAAGTAATAATTACTGCTGTTTAAGTGATTAATGATATAAACATCTCTGTTGGATTCAAGGGGAGACAACAAGCAATACAGCAGCTAGCATGGTGTCTTCTAATGTATGGTACTTCCCTAACTTTTAGTGTTGCAAATAAAAAGTACCTTGTTCAGTGAGGAGGCTGAGCAAAGCAAATTCTCATGGTGAAAAGTCTCATTTTGGTAGTCCTGGGCTGGTATTCAGGAGCTGTTTCCTTGGTATCATTCCATGACTCCATAACACATTTTTTCCTATGTTTGGAACCTCCCATTCGATCCCAGATATTGRTAGGTGCATTTAAATGCTATTATAAACAATTATCTTCTTAATTTAAAACTAATTGAAATTTAAATGGTCTGAGCCTTCAGTGCTAAAAACTTGGAAGGATTTTAGGATTTTTCTTTGGTTTATCAGACAGTCCAAAAACCAGTCTAATCATGCTGTTCCAAAAAGAGAAAATTATTACAATAGGGCAACTTTCTCTTCATTCTGGAATCAGGCAAGTTTA